TACAATGAAACAGAACATTTTTTTAACTGAACATGGTAAATTTGTGAAGTATGACACAGAACAAGCAGCTCATTATAAAAAATGCGGAAATTAATTTGAAATCTATATCAGACCTATATTTGATAAATTACAAAAACCATATTTAAAAAAAATCTTTGATTTAAGAATTACTGAACGATTATCCAACAAATGAAATTGGCTATCACGTGCGTCTTAATTTGAATTGTTACTGTTACTTCAACTTTAAAATGCTTTACTAAAAGACCATCGACCAAATTTAGATAAACATTTCTATTAAGTTTCATTACTTAACACCCATTATTTGTCAATTATTTATGCACTGGCAATTTCCTGAAGATTATATTCTGAATTTCACACAGTTAGAGCCCTTGAGTAACTGCAAACAATGTTGGCAGCCAATTTGCTCACGATCGGATTAAACTAATCAAATTAACTGAAGCGATTTAGAATTAATTCTGCACTATATGAGATATATATAACTAGGGTAGAACTTTGATATTAATAAATATAGTAAATAATTATTATCAGGGTAGTTGACACAGTTGATCACCATTGACACATTTTATAAAAATTGGTTGTTGCAATTTTTTACAAAGTATCCTAATAGTTTCAATTTACAAGATAAAGTAGATATAACTGATACATTTCTAGCAATTTTTGAATTTGTGAATTTTATCTTGTGAATGTGTTTGATAATAACACGAGAAATTTAATTCCATTTTAATGACATTCGGTTTAACAAGCATGATACTTAAGAGACCCATTTACGCCTTGGGTCGAGGCAATTTATCTGCTGATTCAAGACCCTTCAAGGATTAATACCTTAAAGGTACTAAAACCGTAGTAAAATTTAACATCCGTACTAATCGAAGAATATGAGATCTCATTCTAGTAAAAGATGTATCGAGTCAAAACTGGTGTAACTAAGATTACTGCTTATTTTATCTTGCATTATTGTATTTGATTTTAATAATATTATTTTTATTTTTCATGTTTAAATTATTATTATAAAATTCCCAAATAAATTTATTTTCATGGTCTCTGGGCCAATAATTCTTCCTCTGTTATAATGACTTGGCATCTGTTTGCATATTGATGACATCTTATACCTGGACAACAATCTTTTGGACTCACACACTAAAATATAAAATATTAATATTAAAATTGATTTAGGTCAAATAATGCTATGTATAATTATAGACTTTTCTAATCGTGTTCATGATATGAAAACATTTTATCAAATATCTAATTATTTTCAACTTACTGGATCTCCATGACGTCCACAAGTAGGACTACTTGCTTTATAAAAATCACCTGTATCGGATTTTTTAGAAATTTGAACGTTTTGTGTTATTACCGACATCTTTGAGTACTAAACAAAGTTAGTAGATATATAAATGTTTTTTGAATTTCGTAGTGAGATAAATTAAATACTTCACTTACATCATTTTTTTCGTAACCAAACACAATACTTGTCCAACCAGAAAGTGAAATCCAGATTGTTAAAATTACAATAAATTTTAGACGTATATTCATTTTGTATAACTATTTGGAGTTGTGATAAAGACCAATGCGTTTTACAAACTGACGACAATATTTATCAACCACAAAATTGAAATAAACGTCGCATTTTTATTAAAACATGTATAATTTACATTATATGAATTTTAAAATAGAGATAAATATGAATAAATTGGATAGCTAACTTACAAAAGTATTATTTATTTATTTGTTTTTGTATTTCAAGTACCTACAACTTCAAAAATATTTGCTAAACACAATTTAAATAAAACAAAATCTGCAAAATAAAATTATAAAATTTATTCAAAGATAGTTTGTAATCGGATCACAATAAATCAATTGATATGTGTTTTTAAATTATTATTAAATAAATATGTAAACTGTTGGTTAGAAGCTAAATAATTTTGTTGTTCAGAGATTTTTATCCCAATTTATTGACTTGTGCTTTAAATTCAGGTTCTGGTAAAATAACTTGGCATCTTTTGGCGTATTTGTGGCATCTCAAGCCAGAGCAACATTCTTCTTCTGATACACACTAGAAAAATATATTTTTATTATTATAAATATATAAAATTAAATTTAATTTGTTATTTAATTTTATTGTATATCTTCTTTTTTTAATTTATGAAATTCACAAGAGACATTTAGATATTCTCAGTTCATTCAAAGTTTTTTCAAGGGATGTTTAAAATAATTTCTGGTAAATTTATTCTTGGATATTTATTTTCGGAACTCAAAGCAATTTATATAAAGAGAGAAAATATGTTGCTTCTCTTGTTTCTCAATATAATAATATTAAATAAAATTACTCAGTTGGTCTTTTTTGTCAAATCCCCAAGTTTTATCCTCTAGATTTTTGCTTGTTGATATTTATTATTATCAAAATTTTACTCACAGGGTCTCCATGTTTTCCGCATTCGTTCTTTGGTTTGAATTCATTGATAACTTTTATTCTATTGACTGGATTAGAAGATTTCTTGATTTCATTTTTACTGGTTTCTTTATTTGTAGTTTTTTCAGGAATTGCGGGTCCTAAGGGTCCTGAAGACACACATTTGTGGGCATAGAACATGCAGGTTTTTGAACAACATTCTGAGTCACGTTCACACTAATAAAAAATTATAATCAACTGGTTTAATAATAAATAATAAAACAAAAAAATTAAGTGATTTTTTGGCAAAACCTAAATATTAAAATGTGGTTTAATTTAGATTTAATCAAAACTTGGAAACACTAAAAATTTTGAAGAGAAACATAGAATGAAATTAACAAAAAATTTATAACAGCGCGTGCTTTAAATACTTTGGCATTTCATGGGGTCACATTATGAAATTTACGAATGTTTTTAGTGAATTATTAGTATTTAGTATTATTATACTACTGACATTTCTATTTTATATTTTTGGAAACAACTTCTCTCAATAGTTTTATAGTCAATTTCGTCCTCTTTTATAAAAAATGATCATGTGCTTCAAAGCTTTGTATGTACACTATTTAATTTCTTTCCTTTCTTGGTTTCCATATTTTAGATTTTAAATTATAACGTACTGATGATGAGAAAAACCTAGTCTCGAAACGTTTGTAAAATTATTATTTAATAAATTAGTGCAAAAAAGTGTTGTTTGATCATATTTCCAAATTAATATCTATCAGAACACATTTGTATATATATATATATATATATATATATATATATATATATATATATATATATATATATATATATATATATATATATATATATATATATATATATTCACAAGTGAAAAGGAGAAAATCTATTAGAGGCTATGTAATCTTTAAAGACTTTAGGACAAGTTAGAGAAGCATTAGTCTCTTAAGAGGTTTTTGCAATACTCTTAATAGTTTTGCTTTTCTTATATTTCATCCCATAGTATGTATACGAAAACTTTTTCTACTCGAATTGCCAAGTTGTCTCTGGTATTAACATCGTTTATTTTGTCGGATTGTACAAATTGATAATTTAGGTTTTATCAGACGTTTTAATGATCTATTTATTTAGTTCGCATTATCTATAGATACTGAATCATGCATTATGGTATATAATTTATTTTAGAAAATAATTACTAAAACTTATTTCAAAATAGTAAAATCTGCAGGTCGAACATACTAATAATACAAATTTTAGGTACACGCCTCTCAAATGTAATTATTAGCCTAGAAAATAGAATACATTTTTAAACTTTTATTGAGTTCTACATTGTTCAAAATTTTTGTTTATTAAAATATTTTATAATACATTAATATTATAATTATTTTTATTACTTACCGGTGATCCATTAGCTTTACAATCCGCATTTTGGCATTCTGCAACAGCAACAAATGCAACAAATGCGACGAACAATTGCAAACACAGTTTCATTTTTGCAAAATTAAATTCTAATGCACTTAATATGTAATATGTAAAACCAGAAATCTAAATTTATGTCACACAATAGATGTAAACCATGTATGAAAAATTAATAACGTGTGAGGAATCGCATGGATGCACCTCTTTATATACAATTATCAACTACATGGCGATTATTTTGATTACAGGCACATACTTTGGTAAAATAATCTATATAATAATATAATTAAAATTTTTTATAATAATCATATAAAATAATAATTTGAAATTTTCAAAATTATTTTATTTAATATGATATTTATTTTTTTTATTTGTAGGATATTTTATTCTACCAATTTTGATTTTACTTAAATTCATTCTTCGAAAAGTTTGGATATTAAAGAGACTGTTTTCAGATATTCAGTGAAAGTTTGTGGGATGATAGGATATTTTATCTATGCAGATTGTTTAAAAATCTGATAATTTACATTTTTTTGGTTTTACGTTATATTATTCTTCGAAAATGTTGGATATAGCATGTGATACTGAATTCAGTTATTCAGTGAAAATTTGTGAGAATATGTTTTGTAAGCATTAATTCAATTATAGTAAATTACATGGCATTTGAAATACTATTAAGGAACACTTGGTGTAAATGATATGTATAAATTCATTTCACATTTTATATATCTTTCATGTTATTGAATATACTAAAAAATTGTTCTTGTATTGATGAAAAAATAATAATTCAATAAGCAATTCAGTAATATATCACTTCATTAAGAAAAATTTTGCCTAATTTTCTAGACTATTTTATAGTTTGCCTCTACTTATATAGAATTCTGTGACATTTTCTTTTTATAAATTTAGAAGATTTTATTTTACTCATTGGGAAATGCCAAATATTACATAACAGTCAATGAAAACATTTTTCACAACTTTATACATATTAGTTTTACAATTCTATGACAATTTGTCTCTGTGGCATTCATGATTGTTGTCAAGGAAATACCTTTTCATATTACTGATAAAGCATTGATGATTGTGAATCATATCAAATTAATTGCTTTTTATTTTATTCAGAAATGTTATGGACTCTATGATAAAATGTTTACAGTTTAAAAGTACTAAATTTCCTGGTATTTTTGAGCACTTTAGAATTTGTAACATTCCAATGAGATGAAAGATCGAGGAAATATTGATGCTATTAATAGAAAAAAAAGACAATATAAAGAGCTAAAACTTTCTGAGAATTGTTTTTTATCAATTTGGAACCATTTGAAGCCCTTGGGAGCAAGGAATGTTCATATTAAGGACCACCCTAATAAACATGCATGTTTGTTGAGTGTTGATAATTTTGATCTTGGTTTTATAATATTCCTTTCCATATTTTTTATATATTGCCCTAAAGATTGTATACAAATAATAATTAATAATATAACATCAATGAATCTATTTCCTCCAATTTCGAACAGATTTTTGCAGGATTAGGTATCAATTTATTCACTTTGATTTATTTTCCTCGAGATTGCAGATAACACCACCAATATTCCAGTTGTAATATTCTCGGAAATTGTCATTAAAATATATTAATTTCTCTGATATCTGCGATTGATAGGAAATCGCGATGTGTAATCGCTAAACAAATGAGCGTTTTACGGAACGCTATAAATTTCATCGTTTGATGGCGCATTTGTTAAGAGCCGTTGTCCTGAATTACTGACACATTTGTTATGATTAATGTTTTTGGAAATGCCAAGAGTATTAATTACTAATGAGCATGTGACTATCGACTACATATATATTAAAATACACGTATATAATATATATACATGCTCCAATTCATGGCATGAAAACGTGGAAAACTTGCTGAACGATAAGACCGTGCAGATTGCATTTGAACTAAATACTATAAATTAGTAGTAATTGCATACGGATATGACGCTTTGGGAAAAAAGGAAATCTAATCAATATTTGAGTTATCGATAGAACACATCATTTACTATGTTCACTATCATTATTTCTGGAAACACTATTATTTTACAACCTGTATGTTGCTTGAATGTAGAAATACGTGTTCTTTTTATATGCTATTTTTTATTTTTTTTTTTAAATAATTACATAGCCTGGGAAAGCATTTAGAATATGTAGAGGTTATTATATACTGTTAAAATATTAAAATGTTACTCAACAGTAGATATTCTAGATCCAATACGATCAAACAGGAAGAAGATTATATTAATTAAACCTTAGCTAAGGTAAGGGTAGGTCCTTTTAAGTCAACTTTAATTATTCTGAATTACTTGCTTTTTTGTTGTCATATTTCCATAAAATGTTTTTTCCTAATTATATATTGTTATTCTTTACATTTTTATTTTACTCTCTTCCATATAATTAAAATCTACCTAGGAAAGTTTTTACCAAGTTTAGTGATCAGTATATAATGATATTTATATGTTTATGTATTTTTCCACAAATTTCTGGTTTTTACCATTAAAAAGTGTGAAAACATGATAAAGATATTGGCCCAGTTGATTACACTAATTAGGAATTGAAACATAATTAATTATGAAATTTTATCTTATCATATCAATTGATGCATTATTATTCATACTGTTTGTTATATAAAAACTCCGTATTATTACTTATTTTTTCTATTTTTGAATAAAAGAATGAATTTTTACCATAGGCAAGACTAGACTATACTATATATAGAGGCTTATAGAGACTCATATATAGAGACAATATGTATTGTAGTAAAATATGTATTATAGTAAGTTCAATGCTCATGATCTTAACATTTTCTTTAAATGTGGAGCATAAGACAGAATTTGTTATTGGTAATTTTTTTAATCTTGTGTGTCGTAATTTGGTAGTACAAGATCAAATAAAATTAATTACTAAACTATTTTAATATCTAGAATTAATAAATAGCATTTGTTGTTTACTTGCGAATATAGGTATTAACAATGAAATTTTGCAACCTTGTGTGATGTTACATATCAATTGAATATAAATTTTTATAGATCATAGTCATATCCGTGTCTTTATATAATGATTTCATTGACAATAATAGTTAACTTTGCAAAAAATGTTTTACTGATAATTTTACTATAGATTTGCAACTGTAGGATTAATTATTTGTGATTCATAGTATGCCATGACCTTTTTTTAAAGTTGAAGTTGTTTATACGGATATTCCGATGTTGATATCATATTTAGTGAGTTTGATTTATTTTTAATTGCACTTTAAAATCTACTGATGTGTTTGTGAAGGATGTGGTTAGGTTGATATGGGATTATTCACATAGTGATAAACTTAGTTATTGTTTTTTATTTAGGCTGCTTACATACATTTATGTGTGTGTATGTAAATTAAAAATATAAACATCAAATGATACGAGAATGCAAATACATATAAATTATCTATTGTTTCAGAATAGTCAAATATCAGTTCTGTTTCCATACATATTGTTTGCACTCTTTTAGGTTTCGTATTTAGTTTCGTGTGCAATACGAATTTCTATCCGCTGTTTAATTTTACTCATGGAATATTTGACTATCAAACAAAAAGTTCTATCAAACTTCACGTCATATACCACTAGTTTAAATATTAACATACATTTCTACTTGTATTTGAGATATATAAGTGTGTGTTAACATTTTTGTCAGCAATTGTGCCTCGGTTGGCGATTGCTTCGAGTTACGTGCTTCGAGCTTGTTATTTGCCAAAGGATTTCGCCTTGTCAAAGGGATTTTTTGTCAAGTGAAAAATCCTAGAACCAAAACTACACGTACTGTTCGACACACAATGCTTCGTTCAACATATAATCTATAATAAACAGAGAGCCAAGAAATATTCCCAGCTTAGAAAATGCATTGAGAAAAATCCCAACCGGGAAATAATCTGAAAAAAAGAAATTATTAGCTTTTGTAGCCTTGGGATGAAAGTTTTGGTCAACAGTAGTAATACTTGATTTCACTGCCAAATATAGATTGAAAACAAATTGAAAATTGATTTCAAGCAAAAATAGAAATTTGGAACATCGGTGAAACAAATATCACACATCTATCAGAAGTATCTAATAATAATATCATCATAAAGAGAAAAGACAACCACTGAGTTGCTCGATTAGTTTTTATAATTATGATACTTTTTTGATAAAATTTTATTCAGGATTTATTATTTCTATTATTATTTATCAGCTCTTCTATTAAATTTTTCTTTATAAGAACGAGTGTAGAAAATCTCCCAAACAATCGCCCGAAGGCAACGTGTTCACAATAGAAACCTATATAATAGATCTTATGATTTGATTTTTATTGATTTACAACTCTTATTTGCTCTCGATATGAAAAACTGGCCTGGGGATACTGTTTTTATCTGATTTAATATTGATTTCAAATTTAATAATGCAGTAGAACTATAAATAGAAAAATATTTATAAATGATGGGTGAAGTAAATATTTTTTTGAGTACAAAGGAGACTTTTAGTTCCGAAAAACGCAGCAAGTTCAAATCAATTCAATATGTAATTTTACATTGAAAATAGATGTAAAATATTTCGCTCTAATGCAAATTCAAGAGCTGGAGCACAAATTTAATATTTGCTACTTGAATTACCTCTTGAATATCTGAGCTTCCGGAAAATTACATAACCTGTGTCCAGGCAAAATTATTATAGATTGCATAACTGCATTTAAAGTTGTATTGCATAACTATAAAGTTACTGTATCGAAGTTTTCCCCTTTGATTTTAATTGGTTTCACTTCAACAACGTTATGTAATATCAAACCATATAAATAGATTTATACCTTGGTATAGAAAATATTAAAAATTATTGTATGTGATCAATATTTTTACCGAGCTACCGACTGCTTCTTTCCAGACATTTTTTTTCTCACTTCCCATTGGAGAAAATTCAAATTTAATCAAGGTTTCTTCTGGGGACCAAATGACGGAAGTAAATAAAATATTGGCATTCCTCCAAGCGTTGAGGAAACAAAATTAGATGATTTTGCGAGAAGTATTTTATATAATTAAGGAACCGCATTTTCCGCGGTGCCCTCGCTTGCTATTCATGCCGTAACATCATTATTGCAATTTCAAACTCGTTATTTCTG